CCAGTTCCTGAAGGTAAGAACACAGAAGACCTCTTCTCCATTGTCCCCTCTCTGCCTAGGTAACAATGCTGTGCCCACTGTCTCCCACCTATTCCATGTTCCTTTTCCTTGCCTTAGTGTTTCTGGGCTTGGGAGATTTGGCAGAGTAAGCAGAGGTGATCACCTTCCAGATTACTCAGAACCAACACACTGCGCATAAACCAGGGGTGCATTTATTTCTGTCCAATGGTGGCAGCGTAGCTTGGCCTTGGCATCTCTTGGACAGTGTTCCCTTGTGAGGCCGTTTGTCTCTGGGAAGCTGACTTGGAGCACATGCACCCAGAACAAAGGGAACTGGGTGTTCTTGGATTTTATTTAGAGAGTGGCAAAGCATGCCATCATGCAGAGAGTACCAGCTTGAAAAGTCAGAAAGACCTGAGTTCAGAGCCCAACCCTGCCACCATCCTAGGATGTGAAATCTCTTTGAGCTTGTTTCTTCAGCTCTAACATGGCAATGACAATTCTCTGCAATAAAACTTGTGAAAACTAAGAAATCATGAAGGGAAAGCTCCAGACTCATGCTACATATGCTATTTCTGTTGCTTGTTTTCCATTGTCTCAAATGAACACTGCCTTCGACAAAATCCACCTCACTAGATATTGAAATATTAGTGTCCTCTAGAAACTGTAGCTTTTTTGCTTAAACACTACTAGATAAACATAGACTGTTCTTTGGGGTCCTTTTTTTTAAAAACCAGTTGCTCAAAACTTCATTATCTCATGCCAGACACATTACAACAACATGAAGGGGGACAGGAAGTTCTTTAGCCACTGACTGGGCTTAGGAGACACATCTATTCTATCAGCAATATACCTGCATCCATTTGCCATAATGGGTGCTTACTTTTGCATTTGGCTGATCTCATCCACAGTGTACTGATTTTTCCTGGTTTCAGTTTCCAAATGTAACCTTTTTCTACCCTTGTCCCTAGAGTCTGGGGCCCAGAGCTTCCCATGCATTGATCGCCTCTGAATGGAATCAATTAGATCTCTGTTTTGTTGCTTCAAGCTCCTCATTCAGAGTAAGCTCTGCTGGGATCTCCAATGGAAAAGAAACTGCAACCTTTGGTTGTGGAGCAGAATGGGCAGGACAGTGAGTCTAGGTCAAGGTTTGTGAACCTCTGTCCTGGGAAGAGAGCTGCCAGCTTCCCTTCCTGCTTTCCTTGTTTAAGAAATGCATGGAAGCCGGGGCTGGTGTGACCAGGCCCGGAGCAGCGGCTGCCAGGCTGGGAGCGGCCAGGCCCGGGGGAGCAGGCGGGTCGGGTGCGGCCAGGCCCGGAGCAGCGGCTGCCAGGCTGGGAGCGGCCAGGCCCGGGGGAGCAGCCGGGGCTGGTGCGGCCAGGCCCGGAGCAGCGGCTGCCAGGCTGGGAGCGGCCAGGCCCGGGGGAGCAGGCGGGTCGGGTGCTGCCAGGCCCGGAGCAGCGGCTGCCAGGCTGGGAGCGGCCAGGCCCGGGGGAGCAGGCGGGTCGGGTGCGGCCAGGCCCGGAGCAGCCGCTGCCAGGCTGGGAGCGCCCAGGCCCGGAGCAGCAGCAGCCAAGTCCAGAGCAACTAGGTCGGGAGCGGCAGTGACCAGACCCAGAGCAGCTGGTTGTGGAATGAACAAGAGCAACAGAGGCCAGGCCCTGAGCAGCCAGGCCCGGAACAGCTCGCTCCTTGCCTGCCCCTGCCCCACGGCTGCTTCTCAGACATGGCTGGAAACTTTCGTGGGAACTTGAGGGTCTGCTGAATCAAGTGATGAAGGCTTAGATCTGGATGTGTTGAGTTAGTATAGGGCTGGGGTGTTGATCTGTGAGTGCCTTGGGTGGGGCCTGGATGAGGCTAGTTGACCTATTGGGAAATGTCTTTTGTGTGAAGTGTATCATTGGGCATGTGGAGGTATTATTGATTTGAGAAAATGCTAAGTAACTGATTTACTATCTGAAAAGGGATTTACTATTGGGGAAAGCGAGGGAAGAAGAGACTGAACATAAACTGCACCTATGGATGAGAACAATGGGGGATGGGGAGGGGAAGGAGAGCGGGGTGGGAACCTGGTGGAGGGGGGAAGAAATGAGGAAACTTTGTAATAATATGAACAATAAAGATTGATTAAAAAAAAAAAGAAATGCATGGAAGAATCAGTCTGAGGAGATAATTAATAGAAAATATAACTGGGCTCTGGCTAGCTTGGCTCAGTGGCTAGAGCGTTGGACTGTGGACTGGAGTGTCCCGGGTTCGATTCCCGTCAAGGACACATGCACGGGTTGCAGGCTCAATCCCCAGGTTGCAGGAGGCAGCCGGTCAATTATATTCTCTCATCATTGATGTTTCTCTCTCTCTCTCCCACTCCCTTCCTCTCTGAAATCAATAAAAATATTTTTAAAAAAATACAACTGGCAGCCATTCCTAGCTCTGATTCATTGTACATACTTCTGCAGTCATTACCATGGTTTCAAGGCTGAAGTTTTCTCCTCTCTGCCCTCTGCCTGATCTTATATTCACTCTGCTCCACAGACTCCTCCACAGTCGGCCTACCAGACTGATTCAGACTTAACCCTATATAGAAACTAATTTTTGTTGTTGTTTGTTTTACAAATAATGTTTATTGCCCTTTTTATTGGGGGGGGGGAAACCATGTCAGTTGACATAAACATAATGTAAACAGAAAAAAAATGAAAAATAGCCACCAACTGATATTCCAGAACTAACACTTAAGATTTTATTACATTTCCCTCCCCATTTTTATGATGAATACTACATAGTTTAGCTGAAACTAAAAGCATGATTTTGTATCTGTCTTTGAAGTGCTTTTAACCCTGAACTCCCAGCAGAAGTGTATCTATCCTTCACTCCTTTGAGCTATGGGCCTTTAGGCACTGCTTTGGGCAAATTCAGCCACTTGCACAGGCTTGCTTATTGCTGTTGTTGCTGTTATCTGCTAAAATACACAGAGCTCTCACAATTGTTTCATATACTAAGCATCTGCCTGGCACATCAACCATTGAACACTGGGTTCTTCACTGGGATCTGAACTCTGCTTCGTTCCCACTCCAAGACTGCCATAATCAGTGGTTGCAGGAAAGGCTGTTTCCTATGAAAACTCAGAAGTAAAGGTGCTTCGGGGCTCCAAATGAGCTGATGAACATGTCATTATCAAAGCCCATTCCACATCTCCCAGCTAGACTTAGCAAGTTAATACATGGGGCCTGTGGTATCCTCCTAAGAAGTGGGGGAGCAATGACCCCTTCCATGCTGAGTGTGCTTCCCAATCTGAAACAAGGTGTGCCCAAGATGTGCTGTGTCCAGAAATCACAGCAGCACAGCATGAGAAGGTTGATTACTATGTATGAGTTGGAGGTGGGCATGATCTCAGAAATACCTGACCCACAGTAGCATAAAGCATCTCAAGTCCAACAAGGCTGTCTCCAAAAACTGAACTCTGAGCTAGAACTCTAGGTTATAGCTGGCAGGGGAAGCTGGCACAGCTATCTTGCAGAATGGAGGAAAAGCTCTAACCGTATATATGGGAGTTGTGGGTAAGGGGAGACAGTGTTTGGGCACAAATTCAAAACTCATTTATCTTGAGCTCTATGAACTAGTGATTGTTTTATGTGTTTTACAAATATGAACTTATTTAATTCTCTTAACACCCAGTAAATGTGTACTATTATCATGAACTCCATTTTACAGATGATGAAACTGAGCCAGAGAAGTGCGGTAACTTCAAGGTCACAGAGCTAGTAGCCAGATGGTGCAGCAGGGATTTAAAGCAAGAATCTCGGCTTTTAACTATTATATTATGCTGCACCATTATAGTAATTTTGGAAAATACACAACTACCTGTGCTAGCACCATTGGTCACATTTTACTGGGTAGCCTTCCTATCCTTTAATGCATATATTATATGGTACACTATATACTTTTTCCCTTAGATTGACTTTTATATTTTAAACATTCTGCTCAAGAAACACACCTTCAACAAAGCACAAGACATTACATCAACAGTTCCAAATTCATTTTACAGACTTTATGCAATAAAAAGCCAAAAGCAGATGAACCTAAGACTTGTCTAGCAATCAATGATTTAATAGTTGAAATTCATTAATTTGATTTGCTCACATGACTAAAGATTTTTCATTTATTTAAATAAGGAAACACTATATACTTTACAAGACCCGTGCTCTAACCCCTGAGCTATAGGGCCCAGTATATATACTTTAAAAAGAGAAATATTCTATAGCTTGGTCTGTATTCTTAAGGCCATTTCCCATGTCTGTATTGTAAATGGCAAATATCCTTTACTGTGGTTGAAACATTATTTATTTAAGCAATGTCCTACTGATGGACAATGAGACTGCTTTCAATATTTCTCCATGACAGAGTTCTGCAGGAGGCAGAGAGGGTGATAGCCTTTTTTGAAAACTACCTTGTGAACCCAATCAGCTACAGCTGCAAAATAAAATTTAAAACCTCGAGGGAGGCAGGACTTGTGTATACTAGAGAGCAGGAGGAGAGAGCAGTCACGGAGGCTCTTCCTGCTTTCCTTTTGTCTCGAGGAGGCCACAAGGGATTGGTTACACCCGGCGCCTAGGGACTACAGAGGCCCAAGGCTTCTACTACGCACGCGTGGCGGGAGGGGGGGGGTATGGGAGGGGGAAGGGAAGTTGGGGAGCTGACACAAACAAGGGCATGAGAAAGAAGGAACTTAAAAGAGCAGAGGCGGGGCTTCCTGCCTAGCTTTACCTGTGACCTCCGGCCCCGCCAGCCCAAGCTTCTTATTGGTCAATCATCTTCAGCCCCATTGGTTCGAGAGCCAAAGGACTGTGTCTGCCCCAAGATATGCCTGTTCCCGGAGCCGCAGTAAAAACGGTCATTTGTGATGCCGCTTACAGGCATTTGTATAGGACAGGCCCGAAGGACCTGAAGGGGCTTTGTGGGGCAACCAGTACAGTTGAGAATTCAATCAACATCAAGCTTCCTAGATGCCTCCCAAAGGAAAAGGCGGTTCTGGAAAGGGTGGAAAAGGTAGAGCGGACAAAGCAACCAGGGAGAATACGGTTAAATGGGAAGCGAGGGGAAGGAGTTGACCAGAGACCCCCGGGGCCCGAGATGGGTGGTCAGTGACTGGCCTCGAGGTGATGAGGGACAATCAGTGTGGACTTCTTAGGAAAGCTTTAATTTAAAAAGCATGGAAATTAGATGGTAGATAGAAGAGGACAAAGGACTAAGAGAAAGTTTTGTTTGGGGAAAACTTGGAAATGAGGCCGATGTGAAGGATCTAGTTGAATTAGAGGCAAAGGTACGGAGGAATGAGATTTAAGGGGAAAAAAATTGGATCCAGGAAAGAGGAGCAGTTGAGCTTTGAAGAGGAGAAGAGACACCTGATGCTTGAGGTCACAAGAAAAGCGATGTGGGAGGGGGGAGGGTTGTAAAAATTGGAGCCAAAGAGGGGGAAGGGGCCGAGTTTGTAAAAGATCATACTTAATGCCTCAATTTATTAGTAAAGTGGAAGGTAAGGGTAAGTTTTAAGCCTGAGAGGCAAGGACTGAGTAGGGATCTTTAGAGGTAAAAGTTTGGAATGGTCACAGAAGGTGATGGGAGAGGGAATAAAATACTAATAAAAGGGATTCCCTGAGGGCCGAAAGCCTAATATTGAAGGCTATGAATTTGTAGAGGATACATTCTACACAGTCATGATTTACCTAGTACCGAGCAAAAGGCACAACATAGGATTGAAAAGAGGTGTAGCTTTGAGCCGAGGTTGAGGTTTTGTTGGACAATGATAATAGAAGGCTAGCAACACAAGAGGATTAAGGGTGCTAGTGGGAAGATATCAAGTTCAGATCGTGGTATCCAGAGTGGGAAGGGAAGAAATCTGATAGTGCAGAGGAACATAGCTGGATAAAGGAACTGGAAGTGGGAGTGGTTTCTGGGAAGACGAAGAGTCAGTGTTGTGGGAATGAGACTTGAGAAAGCCAGAATTGGAAGTTGTAGCCAGAGACTGAACTACTAGATCTGAGAGGCACAGTTTCATTCTGTGCTTCTGGGAACAAGTGGCCTGGAGTGGAAGACATGAGCGGTGGGGGGGGGGGGGGGGGAGGAGATCCAGAAGTGTGAGGTTAGGTTTTTGGGTGATTCCTCAGTGTAGATGGTGAGAGATCATCTAAGATAGTGGCAGGAATGAGAGTGGAAAGGAAGCCTGAAGCTGCTGCCAAAGTCCTCAGTCAATCAAAGGGAGGGAGATGGCAGTCAGAAGATGACAGCATCCAATAGGGGAGAGGATGGAGTAACTGGAAGGCATCATTGCTCAACAGTGAATATACAGCAAACCCAGTTAAGAGTTTGCTGTAATAAAACTCCTTTAACAATAATATGTTCTTAGGCATTTAGTGGTTAGAACAGTATTTGGGGTTCTCAGTTTAGTTGAAATTTTTTTGAACAGCTGTTATGTGCCAGGCACTCTGCTAGACACTGGAAAAACGAGTAAGATGGAATCTCCTGATTAAAACATTTCAAGGGCTCCCTGTTACTTCTAGGATAAATTCCAAGTTTCTTAATTGGGCCTAAAGGCCCTCATGCGACTGAACATAAACTGTGCACCTATGGATGAGGACAATGGGGGGGGGGGGACAGAGGGTGGGGTGGGAACCTGGTGGAGGAGAGCAATGGGGGGGGGGGAGGAATATTTGTAATAATATGAACAATAAAAATTTATTAAAAAAAAAAAAAAGGCCCTCATGCTCTAACCCTCAGCCACTTCCCCTGGGCTCATCTCACAGCATTCCCATCTCAGATTGGGCTTTATCCATAGTTTCCAAAATATTATGCAGTTTTTCACTTTGGAGTATCCCCTCACCTTTGTTCTTTCTTTACCTCGTCAGTACCTATACATCCAGGAAACCTCTCCTGAGTGACTAAAATGTCCTGCTGTGCTTCCACAGCCCCCTGTCCATAGATCATAGATCATCCTCAGAAATTATCTGTTTACATATCTGAGGGCAAATGAGCTCCCTGAAGGAAGGTACTGTGGCTTGTTCATCTTTGTATTCCCAGTGCCTGGAACTTAGTAGTTACTGAGGAAATGTTTATTTAACTGAACATTTAATCCAGCAATAGTTCTCAGGAACATGAGGCTCTAGCGTAAGTATACTGCCATCGTTATAGAAGTTGACATTGTAGTAAAATGATATACTAGTGAAATGTAAGTTTCTGCCAGTGGTTGTTAATCTGAATACCGATAACTTTTCTTAGGAAGCTATCAAGTAGGCAATATAGTAGACTCGGAATTTGGACATAAATGAATTATTTAAGCCAAATATGGGTAGTGGAAAATATTATCTTTAAAATATATTCTTGGATATTTTACATATTGGAATTATGAGCACTCAAATACATAGTTGCAGTGCTTATTGAAAATCTTACAAGAGCTCAGGGGTTTGCACTTAGAAGGCAGGATTTAAAACCAGGCTTCCAGCACTCATATTCAACCATTAACATCCTCACCTTGTATCTATCTATTTTTCAGTGAAGGGTTTACATAGGGCACACATTTCCTATTTTAAGAGAGGTGAGTCAAATGAATTTAGCTTGATGTAGTTAAAGTATCTGGCAGAGTTCCCTTTTGAAGTTTGGTGCTATGACAGAAGCATCAACTCCTGATGTGTTGGACCTTTCTGTAAATATCAAGGTGCAGTTTAAATGAGTACCTATTATCTCTTCTCTAAAGGAGGAGCAGCATCTGGGAGTGATAGTTCTGACAAGAAGTCTCAGGGTCCCAAAGGTGGTGGCAATGCAGTAAAGGTGAGTTACTGGTTCCTTTTTCCCCCCATGTTAAATATGAATAATATATGTACATGTGTTATTTTGGTGCACATAAAATGAAAAGAGAGTTTACTTAACTCATTCTAAGAGAGTAGCCTTAGATAAGCCACTAATATAAAAGCAAGATTACACAAAATTGGAAACTATAGACCAATCTCACTTATGAAAAGTAATTCCTTTTAAATATTTTTCAAATGCTTTCTCAGACATCCAGAATTTCTTCATACTTTAGTATTGTTTCTTAAATGTATTAAGTTAGATCTTACCAGTAAGTGAATGAATGAATTCTTAGGATAAAATATCTTATAAAACCAAAAGCTTAGGTAAATAGGCAGAGGCACAGGTTTCACTAGATAGCTACCCTGCTGGTGAGCTAAAAGCCAGGACTCTGACCATGAAAATGGAGGTGGGAGACAATCGCAAATAATTACTTGAAGAGCTTGACCAAATTTCAGAGGAGTGTCTGCCCTGGTAAAATATAATCTGCAAACAATACTATACTACTTAGTACTGTTTAACAGGCCATTTTCCATGTTTCAGTCAGGATCCCATACTTTGAATCATTCATTCAATAAGGATTTAGTCACATCTGGCCTATGCCAAGCAGTGCACTAAGTTCTGGGTATTAAAAAACAAACAGCTCAGCTGGTGTGGCTCAGTTGATTGTGTCATCTCATGCACCAGGAGGTCACAGGTTTGATTCTTGGTCAGGGCATATGCTCGAGTTGTGGGCTCAATCCATAGTAGGGGGCATGCAGGAAGCAGCCCATATATTTCTCATTGATATTTCTCTCTCCCTCTCCCTTTCTCTGAAATCAATAAAAACATATTTAAAAAAAGCAAACAGATAAGAGACTGTTTCTGACCTGGTCTGGCTCAGTGGATAGAGCTTTGGCCTGCGGACTGAAAAGTTCCAGGTTCGATCCCGGTGAAGGGCACATACCTTGGTTGCAGGCACGTCCCCAGTAGGAGGTGTGCAGGAGGCAGCTGATCGATGTTTCTTTCTCAACAATGTTTCCAACTCTATCTCTCTCCCTTCTTCTCTGTAAAAAATCAATAAAATATATTTAAAAGAGAGAGAGAGAGAGAGAGAGAGAGAGATACTGTTTCTGTTATCCCCGTCTAGTTGGGAGCAGTTAGGCAAGGAATTAAATTTTATCACTGTATGATTAGTGAAATTATATCATATAAATCCAACCAAATACATGCAACCAAAGAGAGAGAGAGAGATCAGGGGACAGGGAGAAATAATATAAATAGTGAGGGCCATTCTTCCCACTTTTCTGGAGGGGATAAGATGGGAGACATGAATCTGCTTTTCTGTAGTTGATCTCCATTTTCGCATGAACTTCCAACTCATGAAGTGGCATTTGATATCCAAAGATATGTTTTTATAAAACATGGCCTTCTAAATACAAATCAGCTATTTCAATCAGGTGGTCAGCTGAAGAAGTGGCCATTGTTATAAAACGGGTGGGGAGACAAGTAATGTTGGGCTTAAATGTATTAAGTTAGATCTTACCAGTAAGATTGGTCTCCAGTATGCCATCTTCTGATGGGCTGGCATATTGGTCTCCAGTATGCCATCTTCTGATGGGCTCTTGGACTGTTTCCAGATCTTAGATACTGTAAATTGTGCTGCTATGAATATAGGGGTGCATACATTATTTCTGATTGCTATTTCAGGGTTCTTAGGATATATTCTTGCAAGTGGGATCCCTGTGTCAAATGGCAATTCATATTTAAGTGTTTGAGGAAACTCCATACTGTTTTCAATAATGGCTGCACCAGTCTGCATTCCCACTAGCAGTGCACAAGGGTTCCCTTTTCTCCACATCCTCACCAGCACTTGTTATTTCTTGATGATAGCCATTCTGGCAGGTGTGAGGTGCATCTCTCTAATGATCAGTGACTTTGAGTATTTTTTCATGTCTCTTGACCATCTGCATGTCTGCTTTGGAAAAGTGTCTATTTAGGTCCTTTGCCCATTTTTATAAAAAAAAAATTTTATTCTTTAAAGTATTACATGTAGTAGTACATATATATCCTTTTTTTTCCCCTTTTGACCTTCCCCCAGCCACATGCTCTCATCCCACCCCCCGTGTCTTGTGTCCATTTGTTGTGCTTATATGCATGCATACATGTCCTTCAGTTGATCTATTTCACCTCCTCCCCAATACTCCCCAGCCTTCCCGCTGTAATTTGACCATCTGTTTGGTGCTTTATTGCCTCTGTATCTATCTTTTTGTTCATCAGGTTATAATGTTCTTTATTTTCCATAAATGAGTGAGATCATGTGGCATTTTTCTTTCATTGCCTGGCTTAGTTCACTTTTTAACTGTGTTGTTTATTTTCCTTTTGTTAAGTTGTATGAGGTCCTTATGTATTTTGGATATTAACCCTTTATCAGATGTATTATTGCCAAATATATTCTACCATACAGTGGACTCTCTTTTTGTTTTATTAATGGATTCTTTTGCTGTGAAGAAGCTTTTTATTTTGATGTAGTCCCATTTATTTATTTTCTCCTTAGTTTCCTTTGTCCTAGGACCATGGTTGACAAACTGTGGCTAGCAAGCCACATGTGGCTCTTTGGCCCCTTGAGTGTGACTCTTCCACAAAATACCACGGCCTGGGAGAGTCTATTTTGAAGAGGCATTAGAAGAAGTTTTAAGTTTAAAAACTTTGTCTCTCAAAAGAAATTTCAATCATTGTACCATTGATATTTGGCTCTGAGTTTGCCGACCACTGCCCTAGGAGATGTATCCATAAGCATATTGTCTGAGATTTTGCTTCCTATGCTTTCTTCTAGGATTTTTATGGTTTTCTGACTTACAAGTCTTTTATCCATTTTTGAGTTTATTTTTATGCATGGTATAAGTTGGTGGTCTAGTTTCATTTTTTTTGCAGGGACTCAGTAATTTTTATTGTTATAATTTTCACAAGAAACAGATGGTGAGTCCAGAACTCATTGGCTTTCCAGCCCCCTATCAACAAAATTATCTTCACCTGCATCGCTCTTCCATTCTCCTTCCCTTTTTTCCTTTGAGGCCACTGTTTTTCAGATAGTACTCTGAATGCCAAACTTTGCTCTTTCATTTATCTCCACCCACTCTCTTTGCTTTGTCTTAAACTTTTCCCTCTTCCCCTCCATTCTGAAAAGTACACTCCGTGATCTTTAAAATAAATACATGTGTGACCCTTTTCCTCTAACCAGAGCCCTTTCTCCTTTTGTAACTCAGTTAGTTGAGGGAGAACTCTATATGCATTCCCTTCCCATTTCCCATTACCTTCCTCCATCAGCCTGCTGCATTCTGGCTTCTGCACATTACCAATCTTCCAGAACTACTTTTGCTAAGGTCACCGATCACTCACTGCTAAACTGATTGTGCTTCTTACCTGACTACTCTGCAGCATTTAACATGTTGACCATTTTTTCTTTGAAACTTTCTCATACCTTGGTTCCTGTCAACACATCTTCCTCTCCCACCCACGTGGACCTTCCTTTTTATTGTGCTTGTTGAGCTTCTGAGCTTCTTCTTTTTTTTTTTTTTTTTTTTTTTGCTTATTGCTTAAATATTGATATTCTCCAAGGATGTATTTAGACTTTTCTCCTTCTCATCCCATTCTACTTATCCTCCCTGGGTAACAGCATCACCTTCTGTAGCATCAGCTACTCCCTCCATGCTGATTGCTCCAAAATTCTCTCTATAGCTTTGCACTCTTCTGAGATGCTAGTTCTATATAGTTGCCAGTTGGTCAATCATACTTGCAAACCCCACAGGTGCTCATTATGTCTAATCTGTCAAACTGTCCAAATCAGAATATGTATATCTATACTAATAAAAGTGTAATATTCGAATTAGACCGGGAGACCTTCTGGATGTCCTTCTGGACAAAGCCATGGTGGCAGGGCCAAGGCAGAGGCGATTAGAGGTGATCAGGCCAAGAGGGGAGAGCAGTTGGGGGCAAGCAGGCCAGCAAGGGGTGCAGTTGGGGGTGTTTAGGCTGGTGGGGGGGCAGTTGGGGGCAAGCAGGCTGGTGGGGAGGGCAGTTAGGGGTGAGAAGGCTGGCAGGCAGAGTGGTTAAAGGTGAGCAGGCAGGTAGGCAGGTGAATGGTTGGGGGTGAGCAGGCAGGCAGGCAGGTGAGTAGTTAGGAGCCAGCAGTCCCGGATTGCGAGGGATGTCTCCCATGGGGTCCCAGATTGGAGAGGGTGCAGGCCAGGCTGAGGGACAACCCCCCCCCCCCATGCGTGAATTTTGTATACCTGGCCATAAGTTCAAATATAAAATGGCAAGCGGTATCCCCATTCTGTGATCATGAATGTTGTGTGCACCTTCCCAGTAATTGAACCAGAAGATTGCTTTGGAAATGTGGAAGCAGAAAAGGTGCAGGGGGTGGGTGGGCAGTCTAGAAGCTGTTTTAGCCAGATTGAGTGAGGTCTAATGAACAGTCCTAGTATCCAGATCACTTATTCCTGTCTCTCCTAGACATTGCTAGACATATTCTATAGAAGTTTGCCACTCTGAGCCCTGCTTTTTGACACATTCTTTCCTTTGCTGTGTTCCTATGTCCTGTGCAGCTCCTCTAGTCATGAAGGTATTCCTGTGGGTCTAGAATCCTCTCATTCCCAATTTTAGTAATAGAACCATGAGGACAACCTTGGTTTGCTTGTTTCTAAATTTATAAGGCAGACACCTTTAGCCCTACCCCAGTGTATCACCTACAATATGAAACAAATAACAGATTCTACTTGAATAGGAAATGAGAAATCCTGTAAAACATATCTTGACAGAATCATTTTTAAGGATATATTTAAAAACAACAACAACATGGCTTTAGATGCCCAGTGCATAAATTCATGCATGGGTGGGGTCCTGGGGGGTGGGACCCTCCTGGTGGGCAGTGGGATGCTCTTGCCAACTTGGGATCTGGATCTGTCCCACTGATGTTTGCACATTGTCGGGAGCCACCTGGAGACCACTTTCATATCCTTTCTTCCTTGCAGACTGTCTAGGGAGGGAAAGTGGCCATGGTGCCCAAGGGCAACTTCCAGAAGGCCAGTGGCGCCATCAGGATCATGTAGATGGCACTGGTCCATTGGTGCCTGGGGGAATGAGTAGCTGCGGCTGAGCTGGGGGTGCCAGGGTGGGTTGGTTAGCTGAGTGGTCCTCCCACTGTGGGACCACCAAGGGACAACTCCTGCATTGAGCTTCTGCCCCCTGGTGGTCAGTGCATATCATAGCAATTGGTTATTCAGTTGTTCTGGTCATTCAGTTGTACTGGTTGCAATGGTCATTCAGTTGTAATATATATCAAATTTGATTACTTCTATGAGGTTGAGTATTCTTAACCAGTTAACTGATATGCATCCAAAGACACTTTTATCTCACATCTATAGATGCTTATGGCATACAAAGGGTTAATAGTCAACATAAGATACTTATTCAAAGTGTTGAATTGTGGGGAGGCTTTATACATTGGGCCTCTTTTGGTAAAAAGTATTTCTTAGTGGTGCCCTGGCTGGTGTGGCTCAGTTGATTGGGGCATTGTCCCATACACTGAAGATTTCAGGTTCAGTTCCCAGTCAGGGCACATACCCAGGTGTGGTTCAATCCTTGGTCAAGGCACGTGTAGGAGGAAGCTGTCTCTCTCTCTCTCTCTCTCTCTCTCTCTCTCTCTCTCTCTCTCTCTCCCTCCCTCCCTCCCTCCCTCCCTCCCTCCCTCCCTCCCTCCCTCCCGCTCCTCCCTCCCTTACTCTCTAAAATTAATAAAAGTATTTCCTAGTGGGGTTTTTTCAAATCATCCCCACTCTGATGAAATAATAGCATTTATTGAATGCTAGCTACAGAATCTCAATCTTCACAAACCTATGAGGACTGTTATTAAGTACTGTTATTATCTCAGTGCACAAATGAGGAAAACTGAGGTTTAAAGACATGCCTAAGGCCTCACAGCAGAGTTGGGATTTGACTCCAGGACCCCAAATCTCAACCATTATCATGTTTCTTCTTCCTGTTACCATTGAGGTACCTGGTAAAGATAGGAGCTTCCCATAGCCAGGTGCCTGTTTTCCATGTAAATTGGGTTCCAAAGATACTATCCTGTTATGTAAAACGGGTTTCTGGTCATTGCCCCAAGTGGGCAGACTTCTAGAATTTCCCATTGCCATGTGATTTTTCACTAGTGTGGGTAATCCAGACATGACTGCTGTACTGTGAAGAAATGGTTTGCATCTCCAGGTATTATGTGAATATACTTTTTTCCTTGTAGGTCAGACACATTTTGTGTGAAAAACATGGAAAAATCATGGAAGCCTTGGAAAAGTTAAAGTCTGGAATGAGATTCAATGAAGTGGCCACACAATATAGTGAAGATAAAGCCAGGCAAGGGGTATGGTGCTATTACCATTTACAATGATCTTTCCCCCAGCAGTAGGGATTATTGCTGTGTTATGCTATTAATTTTAGGATGTCCTGGTTTAAAGATTTTAGAACAGAAATGTCCAACTTGTGGACAGATGAATATAGGTCACCTATATCTAAATCTTGGCATGACCAAACTTATACCCAGCAGCATTGTGAGTGCTTGTATGTTCAGTGCAGGCTGGACCTCTTCCATCCATTTGTACTTGTCTGGCCTACTTCTTTATAGTCCATATGAATAATTCAGAAACCTTAGCATTCAAGCTACAGTAGAACTGTTCTCTCTTCAGAGCCTCTTGGCATCACATATCTTTTGGGTTTTTCAGGGCGACTTGGGTTGGATGACCAGAGGTTCCATGGTGGGACCATTTCAAGAAGCAGCATTTGCATTGCCTGTGAGTGGGCTGGACAAGCCTGTGTTTACAGACCCTCCAGTTAAGACAAAATTTGGATACCATATTATTATGGTTGAAGGCAGAAAATAAAATTGTATGGAACACTGAATATGTTTTATACATTCTGTTTATTTGTTTAAAAGGTTTTGAATAATCCTTGTATTTTATTAACTATGTCATTGTGGGTTTTTAAATGCAAAATGGCTGTCAGAGAGGAGGAGGGGACTGGATGAAAGAAGGTGAAGGAATTAGCCAAAGAACATACGCATAACCCATAGACACATCAGTGTGGTTCCAGAGGGAATGGGGGTGGGGGGAGGGGGGCAAATAGATTAAAATGAGGATATCTGTAATACTGTCAACAATAAAAATTTAAAAAATCAGGTATGTAAAGGTTTGTATATACTACAGTAGGTATTCAATTGGTGGTTCTCAATGATGACTCAAGCAGACCCATTTTAACTTGTCATTCCTTTCCTCCCAGAACTAATTTATCTGATTATCACTATATGCCATAAGTTAATTTAGATACCATCTCTAGGGGAGCTAAATGTCAGCTCACACTATTCACACATTGAATCAGGCCTCAAAAAGACAGATTAGGCCCAGTCAGCATGGTTCAGTGGTTGAGCATCGACCTATAAACCAGTGGGTCACAGTTTGATTCCTGGTCAGGGCACATGCCCAAGTTGCAGGCTCGGTGCCCAGTCCTGGGATGTGCAGGAGGCAGCCGATCAATGATTCTCTCTCATCATTGATGTTTCTATCCCTCTCTCCCTCTCCCTTCCTCTCTGAAATCAATAAAAATATATTTTAAACTCGAGGCCCAGTGCACAAAATTCGTACATAGGGAGGGTGGTGTCCCTCTACCTACACCCTCTCCAATATTGGACCCCTCAGGGGATATCTGACTGCCAGTTTAGGCCCAATCCCTGCAGTCAGACATCCCCCTCACAATTTGGGGCTGCTTGCTCCTAACCACTTGCCTGCCTGATTGCCCCTAACCACTTCTGCCTGCCAGCCTGATCGCTCCCTAACTGCTCCTTTGCCAGCCTGATCACCCACAACTGCCCTCCCCTGCCGGCCTGATTGCCCACAACTGCCCTCCCCTGCCGAGACCTACCTCTGCCGGGACCCACCTCTGCTGTACACGCAGCTATCTTGTGACAACATTGCATGAGGGTGTCGTGTGAGGGCATGGCACCACTTAGGCTTTTATTATATAGGATGATGATAGTAAAATAAAATCCACCATGACTTTGTAGTTATGACTATCAATAGTATTTTGAGATAGCTGCAATAACTATGAAATCTGATTTCTATTAGTGACAAAGTCACAGGTACTGCTAATACTTCTGCATTTTGTTGCCTGCATTCAGACATCTGAATTCTGTCCCTGAAATTCAGTTTTTAAATCTCTGCTTTAGATACCATTTGAATGATTTACTGTGGGTATGTACTTTTCTCCCCAAATGATCATGATTTAAATGTCATCTCTTTTTTTCAAAAATATTTTCATTGATTTTTAGAGAGAGAGGAAGGGAGAAAGAAAAATTAATGTGAAAGAGAAACATCAATTGGCTGCCTCCTACATGCACCCCCACCAAGGATTTAGCCTGCAATCTGGGCATGTGCTTTGATCAAGAATCGAATTGGCAATCTAAGTGCATGGAACAATGCTCAACCAATTGAGCTACACTGGCCAGGGATCATACCATCTCTTGCAAACTTCTTTCTGTATATTAATATACATCATATATGAGAATAGTGGTGTGTAAATTGTTAAAGAGAAAACCAGAGAAACCAAGATGGCAGCATTGGTAAACACCTGAACTTGCGGCCTCACACAACAGCTTCAAAACTACAACTAAAAGACAAAATGGACATCATCCAGAACCACAGAAAGGCTGGATAAGTAGAAATTCTAAAACTAAAAGGGAAGAAAAAAGCACACCGAGACTCAGGAGCTGTGGGAAGTACAGTGTAGAGGTATAGAGGCGCACATGCGGAAAGGGCTAGCAACTGAGTACATGGATGGCTTTTTCAATCCAGAGGGAGACACAAGCTCCCAACTGCTCTTAACTCCAGTCCCGGGCGAGACTCTAGGGACCCAGACTCATACAGGGAGAAGCTGGACTGTCTGACAGTGGGTGGAACTCAAGGGCAGCTTTCTCTCAGAGGTGCTTGCAGCGATTACCGCAGCACACTGAGACCCAGGGGCCTCTTAGGGCAGGGCTGATGGGAGGCCATTGTTGTTTGCTCTCTTCTAAGACTCTGAATCATCCAAGCTGTGCAGAGGCTTTTGTATATGAATAGCCTCGTCCTTTGAAATCTCAACTTACCTAACAAACTGCAGCTGAGTCAGAGAGACATAGACCATCCAAAAGAAGGCTCAAGGCACTATAGCAGCTTGCATTGCTTCACAGCTGGGCCTCATCTAGGCACCTCCAAAACCCAAACAAAGAAAAGGAATCTTAAGATCTCTCGATAGCTCCTGCTGGGTGGCCTCAGGCAGAGGCTAAATTAGCACCTCCTTGGAGATCCAAGAGCCAGTGTACCCAGGGGTCAGAGGAGGACCATCCAGATTACAGCTCCTCAAAATCCATAAGAGGTCACTCAGGGGGTAGACTCAATGAGCATCAAAGCCCCACTGAAGCAAGTCTTGTCTCATAAGGGTGTCTCCAGCACAGAAGTTTTCCCGTCATAGACACATCAGATCCTCACAGCCAATTGGCCTGGAGGTCAATTCCCCCCAATGATATCAACAACAATCAAGGCTTAACTACAACAAAACTGTATACACAGACCACAAAGGGGTGCACCAAGAGTGTCCACCTCAGTTAACTGGGGATATTGAGAGCCACTGGGCCCTATAGGACATCTAGTACACAAAACCACTCTATCAACTCAGGGAAGCAGCCAAAATGTGGAGACATAGAAACAGGTCAGAAATGAAATGGAGGAAAGCAAACTACTGGATATAGAGTTCAAAACCACGGTTATAAGGTTTTTCAAGAATTTTCTAGCCGAAGCCGGTTTGGCTCAGTGGTAGAGTGTCGGTCTGCGGACTGAAAGGTCCCAGGTTTGATTCCGGTCAAGGGCATGTACCTTGGTTGCGGGCACATCCCCAGTAGGGGGTGTGCAATTGGCAGCTGATCGATGACTCTCTCTCATTGATGTTTCTAACTCTCTATCTCTCTCCCTTCCTCTCTGTACAAAAATCAATAAAATATATTTTTTTTAAAAAAGAATTTTCTACAAAAGGCCAATAAATTTAGTGAGACCCTCAAAGCTATGAAAAAGGAGCAAGTAGAAATTAAGCATATACTGACAAATAAATATATATATATATATATATATATATATATATATATAGAGAGAGAGAGAGAGAGAGAGAGAGAGAGAGAGATCAACAGCAGACTAGAGGAATGCAAGAATCAAGTCAAAGATTTGAAATACAAAGAAGCAAAAAACACTCAGCAGCAAAAGCAAAAAAAAAAAAAGAATCGAAAAATTTGAAGATAGTGTAAGGAACCTCTAGGATAACCTCATGTGTACCAACATCCGAATTATGGGGGTACCAGAAGAAGAGAGAGAGCAAAATACTGAAGACATAATGACCAAAAACTTCCCCCACCTGGTGAAAGAAATAGACTTATAAGTCCAGGAAGCACACAACCCCAAACAAAAGGAATCCAAAGAGGACCACACCAAGACACAGCATAAAATACCAAGAGCAGCCGAAACCGGTTTGGCTCAATGGATAGAGCGTTGGCTTGGGGACTGAAGGGACCCAGGTTCGATTCCGGTCAAGGGCATGTACCTTGGTTGCGGGCATATCCCAGTGGGGGGTGTGCAGGAGGCAGCTGATCGATGACTCTCTCTCGTCATAGTTTCTGACTCTCTCTCTCTCCCTTCCTCTCTGTACAAAATCAATAAAATATATTTTTTTTAAAATGCCAAGAGCAAAAGACAAAGAATATTAAAAACAGCAAGAGAGAGAAAAACAGTCACCTACAAGGGAGCACCCATACGATTATCAGCTGATTTCTCAACAGAAACTATGCAGACCAGACAGGAGTGGCAAGAAATATTCAAAGTGATGAATAGCAACAACCTACAACCAAGATTACTCTACCCAGCAAAGCTATCATTCAGAATTGAAGGTCAGATAAAGAGCTTCACAAGTAAGAAAAAGCTAATGGAATTCATCACCGCTGAACCAGTATTATACAAAATGCTGAAAGGTATTCTTTAAGAAGAGGAAGAAGAAAGGGGTAAAGATAAAAATTATGAACAACAAATACATATCTATCAACAAGTGAATCTAAAAATCAAGTGAATAAAACATCTGATGAACAGAATAAACTGGTGAATATAATAGAATTAGGGCATAGAAAGGGAGTGGACTGACAGTTCTCGGGGGGAAAGGGGTGTGGGGGTATGGGAAGAGACTGGACAAAAATTGTACACCTGTAGATGAGGACAGTGCGCAGGGGGGAGTAAGGGTAGAGGGTGGGGTGAGAATTGGGTGTAGGGGAGCAAGGGTGGGGGAATGAGGAACAATTGTAAT